ATGAACATCAAAAATCTATACGCTCTTGCCTGCTATACTACGTGAATTAATTTAAAAAAGCAACCAAATTTTAAATTATAGAAGACTAGCGCCAGTCACTCGATAACTGCCAACGATCACAATTCAGACGCACGATTGAAATGTTTGCGGTGTCTGGAAGTCTGTACATCAGTACTCAGCTAAAACTCATATTGTAAGTAATACACCGTTTGATATTAAGCTTAAGGTGTCGGTTCGCTAAGATATTCGATACGTGAACATCGTTTGAACAACATTATCATGTACCGAAGGGAAGTCTAAACCTACAGCCTTGTTTCTAATTATCACAAATGTTATTTATTAATCAAAGGTGAAAATATTAGTTTTAGTGTTTTTTGGATCGGAATTTATTTCCTTGAGCTGCGCAAAAACGCAGAAAATAATCCAATATGTTTTTAGTTTACAAATAATTTTTCAATTTTCGCACTCGAGCAAGTTGGCGATCTGCCCCTCTAAAACCTCCTCTATTCCTTATAACAGATACAGAAAAGTTAAATAATACTGCAAAGATAACTACTTGGCTTTCTCAAGAGTAAAAACATTTCCCAATATTTATATAATTATCAACGTAAGTTGTCAAGGAAGTCTGAATAATTACTTCAAATGTTGTTTTAAGTAAGTGTGAATTGTTCAAAGGGCATATATCTATAATGTAATGGGACGGTCGCACATGATGGCGATGCGACGTGACGCGAAGTAAATATTTTATTTAATAAGGAATCGCGCCTTCGTAAAGAGCGGCCGGAAATGTGCCCTTTCCTGCATTCCTGGGAGGGCCGCTAAGCGCGCCGAGGGAAAGGAGGAATGCACCTCCTTTGTTCAGCGCAACCCACGCCGGACGCACCCCTCTTGACGTATGGGGAAATACGCCTCCCGCACCCCCAAATTGAGCAACGGAATTGCTCGCGCCTAGTTCTTCGAATTTACGTGACGGACGTTACTTCGGGAAAAGTTGCCGGGGGCGCAGCTTTGCCGCTGGCGCCGTGATAGGCGGAGGATCCACGGGTGGCGCGACGACCAATTGCGATATAAGACGCGGGGGAGGAATCACGTGACACGCGAGCTCTTCCTGAGGGCCCGCCGAAGAAAGAATAAATCACTTGTTTTTGAGGCAGCAGCGAGATCACTTGTGTCGGAGGCAGCAGCGGGACCACTGGTTTTCGGAGGCGGCAGGGAGAGCAGTTGTTTTTGGGGGGTGCACTTGTTACTTTGATTCGGAGCCGGGACTATCCGTGCCTGGTCGCCCCGAATGCAACGCCGCCTCGCCCACATCGCAGCCCGACTCGCGTGACGGAAGCCGAACGATGGGAAGGGACACGTGTGAGAGCCTGACCGCAAGGGCCATGTGAGTACGAGCCGGGGCGTGAAAGACAATATCACGAAGCGACCCGTCATCGCCCGGGCGCGGCCCTGCCGACCGCCCGCGCTGAGCAACGCAGAGGCGCCGTCCGGTCGACGCACACCGCTGGCCTAATCCGGGACTGAAGACCGCCACCGCGGCCGCCGAGTAGTCGCCACAAAGGGACCTGGGGCAAGCATCGATCGTGGCTGCCCGCCGCCAGACCTGCCGAGCGCTGGGATGGCCGAACGCCCTAAGATGAACTCTGGCCGTGCCGGCCTTTTCTAAGTTAAGATTAGTTATAAGTTAATTGTAAATTTGTTTATGTCACTGGGCTTCACCCGCGCCGAATTCAAGGTTGATTAAAGTTATATTAAGAAAATGCCTCAGTCTTTCTCTCCAGTAGTTAGACAATTACGCATGCCTCCCTCTAGGGAGTCTGCCGACGAAGTAGCCGGGCAAAGCTTAATCGCCGAAGGAAATCAGGTAATCGGGTGAGTCGGTGGTTACAATAATATGGAATATATCTTCATTGAAAATTATATAACTTTCCAGTTCTTTTCTTTATCAAGTGTCAAAAGATAATTTTACAATGAGCCAATGAATTATAAAATTAACATTTGAAAGCAGATATATCGTTTGAGCTGTTCTGAGTGAAAGTATTAAATAATAAGGCGTGCGTAGTAATAAGGCATAATAAAAGGCGTAGTAATACGGCGTGCGTAGTATTAAGTACTAAGTCGTGGGGAGTTTGGTTATGTTCATAAAAGGAATTTTATATTAAAGTGATTCGTTCGTTTTCGATGCAAAATAGTTTATAATATATAGGAGAGAACATTTCTGGTTATCAGATTTTGTCCACAATGCTCCTTGTTATTATTTATTCTTAAATCATCTAATGTTAGCAAAGGAGTGGGGTTAGATATTTCGGGGCTCAAGAAAACGTGCGCGTATACCTGATTCCACAGAGATCAAGTAGAAAGCACCCATCATATGTAGGACCGAACTCAGCCGCAGATGAACATCTGCCCGCTTTTTGTAAGCGCCCTCTAGCAAGCTGCCTTTTCTGAAACCGAGGCCGTCTCTGAGGTTACCACTCCGGCCAAGAATAGCACTATGCGACAACTCACTTGGAAGTCAACACTGTGATTGTTGAATTATATTTTTACTTTCTAATGTATGCGGAGTAATATATGTAGAATAGGGAAAGATATGTAATATTCGGGAAAATCGAAATATCAAAGGAAATGCACGTTTTACTCAGATACCGAAAAAATGTTTTTTCCAAAACGTCTGTCCCTCTGTAATCACATCTAGCTTCTAAACCATACGTAGGATTTTTTCCAAATTGAAGAAACCTCTCTCCATCTGTCTTCAGTCGAAGCTTTGAGATTTTGAAAAACATTCTTTAAAATTTTGGGGTACTTTATTTGAAGCCATCCGATCATTTCCAATTTTTTTCTTTAATTTTCTTGTAAGAATAGAGTAAAACACACTCATAAAAGTGGAATTGGTCCGATTTCACGGTAAAAGCTAAATTTTCGAAAAGTTCAAAGGTATGGATTTTTTCCGTGTCTTCCTACAACTACAAAAATAGAGATTTCTCCTTCAAATGAAATTTGTTGTCCATAATTAGTTATTTTTATGAAGGTGATGTCCTTTTTTGAATTTGTGCAATTTAAAAAAATTCAAAAACAATATTTTCTCCAAAACGGCTTCAATTTTTTCTTTAAATCCTTGGAAGGAATAGTACTAAATATACTCTATACGAAGACATACACGCTGTATTGCTCTATTCTTTTGTTGTTGTTTTTTTCAAAAATAATAAAAATGTAACTTTTTTAACTCGTCTCTCACGTCGTTAGTGATTTTTCCCATTAATTTTACGAGAAAATGTGCTTTAAATAATGTCGGATAAAGTTTCTCGAAAACTCAACCGATTTCTGTTAAAATAAGCTCAAAACTCCGCATTTTCAGAAACACTCAAACACCATTTTCTCAAAAACCGGTCAAAATTTTTTTCTTAAAACTTTTCGAACGTATAGTGCTAACTGCACTGTTTAAGATGACATGGAATTACTTTTGCTGTATTCTTTTGTTGTTTTTTTTCCAAAAGTTACAAAAATGTACTTTTTTGTAATATTTCTCACGCCTTTAATATGCACATTTCCACCTATTTGTAAACACTTTTGCATCTGTGACTCGAATTGCTTGAAATTATATGATTTTTTTTCGGAAAGCCAATAATTTTCTGTGAAAGATGTTCAAATTACGTACCTACAATAAATACATATAAACAACAAATGAATTAAAAAACTAAATTGGTCGAAGTAAACGTTAAGCTAGCTAATGAAACCACATAAAATATTTAACGTGGATACATTAAATGTTTTATATGTAAAACATTTGGTCTTAAGATTACAAATGTAAACTAGTGTTGCAAAAGAACCAATGGCACAGACTTTCTCCAATTAGTTTCTTAATTTTTTGGGCGGGTCGAGCTTCTCAGTCGTGCCCCACCCTCTTTTCAGCTGCCGTCTATCGCCGCCAAAATATCACTTTATCACATTTGCTCAACTTTTCAGTTCTCACCGCAATCTGCATGGAAATTTTCGTTGAAAAATTTTGTGCAATTTTTACGAAAATGACGTTTAAGCGTTACTGTAATAACGAGATTTGAAACTTTTTTCACAGAAAATTATTGATTTTTCTGGGAAAAATGATAGTTATTTAAAGTGCTCCTGCTCAAACATGCAATAATGAATAAAAATTGCTGGAATTGTGCATATGAACAGCGTGAGACACGTTTAAAAAAACATTTGTGTCATTTTTGAAAAACAAAAAGAATACAGCAAAATTATCACCTTAAACAGTACAATTAGCATTATTCGTACGAAAAGTTTGAAGATTAAATTTGGAGCCGTTTTCACAAAATAGCGTTTTAACGTTTCTGAAAATGTAGAATTGGAGCTCACTTTCACAGAAAATTTGAAAGTTTTCGAGAAATCTGGCATCATTTAAAGCACATGTACTCTTAAATACAATAATGTGAACAAATCACCGCTAATGAACATATTAACGACGTGAGAGGCTAGACAAAAATAACTTTTTCTGAAAACAAAAGAATATGGAATAATAGTTTTTTCACCTAATATTTAGCACTATCCCTACCAAACAGTGTATATAATCGTTTTTGTTATGTTTTAAATAGCACAAATCGCATGTAATATTGCGCGAAAACTACTAAAAGTTTCAAAAATGTGTACATGACCTTTCAGTATGAATTCAAATTTTTGTATTTTAGAAAATTAGAGCTAACTGTGAAATTCTGACCTATGCCACTTCTATAAGTGTATTTTACTCTATTCTAGCAAGAAATTTAAATACATTTGGAGGTGTTTTTAGAAAATTTTGAAAATGTCCCAGGGGCTTTATGTAAAGTACCCCCAAAATTTAAAGACTTTTTTTCTAAATCTCAAAGCTTCGACTCGAGTCACATGGACAGGGGTTTCTACAATTTGAAGAAAAACATACTAAGGTTTGGGCACGAGTGGTGTTCACAGACGGACGGATGGACGGACAGACAGACACGTTAAAAAGAACTTTTTGGCCGGTCTGATCCATACGGTTGCGAGTATGCGACCAAGCGGCACGGTGTACGAAATCTTAATTTCTTAATATTGTATCTTACACCGTGATAGCGGCACTACCTAGAAAGACACGAAATGCCATGAGATATTCCATCTCGATGAAAGCACTCATCCGCCAAGTCATAAAAACCCAAGTATATACGCGGCTTTTGTTTGGCAGTTGGCTAAACTGGAAGAGGGTCATACGTTCCGGATTGGATAAATTAGATTGTCGTGTGGTGCATGAATTTGTGTATGGTTGCCACATTCGCTGATCATGCTCATTAATTAAAGATCCGGATAATACTTTTGACTATAAAGTACTGATCCAGTTTCGTTACAGAAGGTGAGAAAGTAGGTTTGAGGCTTTAAAATGGCAGGAAGGGTTAAAACGAAGCTTGATAAATCGGGAGGTATGTAGTTAGGTTACCGAAAATTGGTTCATTGAAAATTCGAAATTATGTCAAAATTCTCTGTACTTTTCTTCAGAAATGCTGGCATACGGAGAGGCTGCCGTCCGAAATAACGCCGCAATTCTCGAGTATTGCAGAACTTCTATGGCGGCATTATCTGGTGCTACGGCAGGTTTACTGGGATTAACAGGATTTTATGGTTTTGGATTTTATGTATTTGCTGTTATTGGTCTTTGGGTAAACTTATTTTTTGTTGATTTCGTGTGCATCATTTAATCTTTTATTTTATTTTATTTTTTTTAGATTTATGAAACATACTAATGTGATTAATATTTTGCAGTGCCTGATACTTTTCAAAGCTGGAGCTCATTGGGAGAAGTACTTCATTAGTCGAAGAGCTCTCTTGACCAGTGGGTTTTTTGGTGGATTATTTGTATCCTTTTTAAATTGTCACATCATCGACAAACTGGTAACACTAGAAATTTGATTTGTGAAATTTCAACCTTGATTTTAAGGAACTTGTGAAGGTATAGAGCTACAAGAACATCTGAAGCAAATTGAATTAATTTTGGCATAATTTGTCAATATGTTACTTCCGAGAATTTCATGTTCTTGTTTCCAAAGCACATTTCTTGTATTGGTTTCAGTTTTGAAAAGTTTGTCTTATGAAATGACGAAAATGTTTGAGCAGATGTCCTTATGGGTTAATCTTGGGTTCACCTCGCTTAAGACCACGTGCACTACTGTCATGGCCTCCTTTACTACTATTGGGTGGCGAGCGATAGATATAAAAGATGCATCATTTAGGTGGTAGGTGCAAACATTTAAACAATCATTTGAGATAAATTCTACTACTTTAAAATAATGATTATTACTTTAATAATACTATATTGAGGGTTGCCACCCTCAAACCCCTGCTGTCACACGATAGTACAATTGTTGTGTTTCTACTTTAATTGTACTCTGTTGAAGACTGCCTCCACAAAGACCGTTACTCTGCAAATCGCAATTCAACAAACAAAATGCATGATGATTTAAAACTTGCCTCAAATACACGGGTTGTATACTTTTGTAAAATAGCTGAACAACACATGTATAAGATCTTGTGTACTTTTTTCCCTGTATTTACGAATCCATACATATTCTAATAAGTAGTTTCTGGGCCCTTGAAATTCAGCAAGTAGTTTTTGCTGAGGTGGTGATAGCCTTTGTCTCCAAGCTAAGCATAAGTCTGAGATCACAGTCCTGGATCCCGGCTTGATGAAAGTCTTAATGATATCTAGAAGCACGTCTTGCTGTGTTGTTCAACTACCCTGCAAAAAGTGTGATTGGATCCACGATCAGTTCCTCCAAACATCTAAGTACTGTACACATGCTTAGTTCTATTGTAATTCCCTTTACCAAACATGCTTTCGTTAATCTTCACCCACTGGTTCGCTTTCATCACTGACCACAACCATGCGTCAACAAATCAGTCACGGTTTTGAAACGCTTTCAATTAATTCATGACCAATTCACATAGTGCTTTTAAAACACTAAATGATAAGCACCTAATGCAGCTGAAGCAAGTTAAATCAACTCTCCAAAAACCATGAATCCTTTCTCGGAGACCTTTTCTGCACATGAAAAATGTCCCCTTTCATTCGGCACATCCACTCATAGCTGTCACTCTGGTCCTTTTGCTCGATCAATTTTATGGCACAAATGTGGTATTCATACCTTGCTCCGGTAAGACCAACTTTCACACACCACTGGATCACATCCATACATTCAATGCAATGAATAAAAAGTTCTGTGATCTAACGATCCATTGTAAACTCACATCAACATCAGCAAACAACACAAATATAAAAACATCTCAGCTGACACCATGCAAAGAACAGCAGAGAAAACGATGTAAATAAAACATAGTAGACATAGCTACTTTAATTAATTCATTTTTCATGGTTTTGTAGTTTCACCTAATGTTAGGAAGCCATGTTATTTTCTTTGCATTATCTTCAATGTTATAAATCGTAAAATCAGCGGTAATACTGTGAATTGATTAGTAATCATGAAGTGCTAATTTCAATGTTTCTCCAAATATAAAAAGATTCCTGACAGAACGATCTGGCGCTCCAATTGGAAGAGAATCAGATCATATCAAGGCAAGTAATATCCCGTTCCTTTACAGTAGTGAGAGAGGCCAAAACTAAGGTGCACTTTAAATCAAAGACAAACCTGAAATTCTAAATAATCAGTCTGAACACATGACTACTCGCTTCTTTTTGGCGCACAACCAGTATCGAATGTTTTTCAATCTATTATTTACTTATCCTGGACCTATACCTTCAGGGACCTTCGAAAGAGTGTTGCAGGTTTGAAATATACAGATTGACCGAATAGTCCAGTAATTATATAGTTTATTAAAACATATTGTGGTGTAGTTTTGATTGGGAGGGGGGGGGGTATTTTTTTCATGTTTGTCATAGCTTGAATTCCAATGGAAATTATTTTTGGCAAACTTGAGATTCGTATTGAGCACCCTCCAAAAAATGAGCAGAAAATTAAAATCTATCCACAAAATGTTTTAGAACAGTCTGTGTGGGCACCTAATGAACTGACTATAAACATACCATGCCATAGAATAAATGCCCACTGGTATGAGGAATTATTATTTTATACTTTTTGAGATTTTGTGTTTTCAAAATAAACTTAAGGTCTTGCAAGTTAACCTTTGAGAAGTATATAAGCATCTCTAATCTGCTTCAGTTTTGCAAATGAATTTTCGGTAATTAACTTTATAAATGTGTCTTGTTGTTCATCTTCATATGAAATATATGAAAGCTCAACAGAATTTGTTTAATGTACAAATAAAATTGGCATCACTGTTTTGAGTTTAACAATGAAATTTACTTAAATTGCCATGAGGAGGGGAAAAAGTTGTATCTTACTGACAAAGTTTTATGTCGATTGTTTGTTTAGTCTGAATAAAACAATTGCGTTAATGACTTAAAGAAATTTTGTAGCTTTTGAAAACATTAGCTGTAAGATTTTTATATATTGAATACCTAGAATTTCCTTAACATGTTTCAGACTTATGTGCTGTTTTGGACGTATCCTTTTTGATGCAGATAATTATTTTACTATATTTATTATGTACATGAAATTACAGATCAAAGTACTTTTCCTGGGTAGCAGAGATCATTAAGGTGAATGCACCATAACAATCTTTGGTTAAAGGGGTTGCAGGTTCAAATCCCATTTCAAGCATAAATGTTTTATAGTTACATAATGGAGCTTCCAAGTATCATTAGCGCCATTTAGCAACAGATTTCTTTCCCACTCCTCTCTCTGCCCCAATATGTGTGAAATATGGGGAGTATGCTTCATAAATGGCTCGAGGGCTACTTCGTATGTTTCAACTGACCGCCATCAAACCTCCCTACTTGTAATAAGGTGCAAACACCACCACAGGCTTATGAGCTTTTTGCAACAGGAGACCGTTCTCAGCTGCAATAGGCTTACGAGACTGCAGTTTTGAAGAGAAGGCTAGGGTTAGGGTTCTTTGGGTATATAAAAAGGCAGTGGAATGCTATAACAGAGGGCGGAGATATCAAGTTGATGACCAAATGGTTAAAGCAGATAATACATTTTCTTCCGAGTGCTTTGATTTGAGAAATGAAAGTATATGAGACAGCATGAGAATATTGTTTTGGTTATGAATGGAATAAAATTGCAAAAGTATTGGCAAATAGACTAGACATTAGCTGGTTGATTGTGTAATTTTCTTAAATACATTAACAAGTCTTTTTCTTAACACCCATCATAGATTTTTGTACGGTATGGTTCATGTGTATTAAATATGTAAATATCATTCCCAAGCTGTAAATAAAATATATTGTGTGTTAAAAGTTTTAAACATTCCATTTAATGATCATACATTGTCCCTTTTCGTGCATCTGCAATTTCAGGAAAGAATTGAATTTTAAATAGTCTTATAACTCTTACCACTGGTAATCCCTTATTAAGGAGAAACAGGAATTGTGGACCTAGCATCAAAAAACAAGACTTTTGTTAACATCACTTTATATTTTTTTATACAAAGCAAAATGTAGATCGATAAAAATTACAAATTATTTAAAATTTTTTATACAACCTGTTTGTATGAAGTACTTAATAATTTATACAGTATTTAAAGCACTTGTATTTAATCCAAAAAGCTAATAGTCAGCAAATCATTGAATTCATCTAATTTGCTGTTCAAGAGTTCTTTCATGCGAAGTATCTTGAAGAACAGGGAGAGATGTAGACCCTTTCATGTTGCTTTCATTAGTCATATGTAGCATTTCAATTTCATGATTATTTTCTTCCTCTTGCTTCTTTTTGAGGAATTTTCCGCCAGTAAAACCTTGAAAAAGAAAGAAAAATGTCCTCTGATCTCGTTCAGTTCTTAACTTACATTTATAGTCATTACAGAGTTTCATTTACGTTCTTGATACCTCTTCCTTCTATAATTATATGAAAATATTTAGGATTAAAAAAACATGATAAAATAATAGAGATGACAATTTGAGTTGTCGAAGAGGACATCCATTATTTCATTGTTTATTAATGTTAACATCTCATCAGCATTCCCACAATTGCAAAT